TATTCTAAAGGATTTTGCTCAACAAATAAACAAAGGTGTTTACCTTTTTTACATTTTATTGCTTTATTATATCTACTATTCAATCTTTACATAAGATCGGGGCCATTGTAACGCACATTTTCAAAATATTTTTGTCAACATACAGGGTGATTCAAACCGCAATACATATGCTTAATACAGTTCATGAAGATTGGGACGTTTAACTAAAATTTGTTTGTCTGATTAAGCTACCTAAGTAATGGATTTGTAAATAAACGTAATATTCATTATTATGCAACAGGAATCCCATACTGTAGCATACAGATTTGATACTTTTAATGATTAATGCCCTCTATTGAGAGACTAAAAGGTAATTGCCTCGTATCAGAGCCATCATAATACGAGAAGAAGACCGAAAGTCAAATCTTGTCTTATATTTTCAAAAAAACACAATTTTCTCATTAAAATAAATATTGATTTTAGGTATAGGAAGTTATTAATAATACAAGATTAAACATCTATTACACAGTACTTCACAGGAATCTATCGATTGCGAACTAAGTAAATCGTTACTAATTACTAATTTTGAAAAGTTCTTTTTAAGATAAAAAAAAGGTAAAACTAAAACCTAAATTATCATTTGAGATTAAACGGGAAGTTCTAAATAATGTTGCCTATTCTAAACAAGAAAAAATTATTTATAAGTTTTATAGCACCTCTAATTAAATTTGAACGAAAAGAATATTTCTGTTTGCTGTAGGTAATTTTCTCAGAGATTAAACGGGAAGTTCTAAGTTCTCTTCTTCTCACAGGGAAAATACGTAAATAAAAATAACTTTTTAAGTCAAAAAAGTCAAAAGGACAAGTTATTCTAAAAAAGGACTGTCCTTTTCAAAAAAGGGCAGGTGGCAACCCTAGGTATTTCTGGAATGGAACCACCAGGCCACCTATGATTACAAAAATGTCTAAAATGTGCTTTACCATTGCCTCCATATTCTAAAAAAAATTGAACGAAAAGTCACCAACTACAAATCTAATAAAATATAGAACTGTTTCGGAAGCCTGAGTCACCCTGTAAATATTCAAAAGTAACTGAAAGTTTATATAGAAGTAACTGAAAGTATAAATTGAATATCGACGTTGGAGCGATTTTCGAAAACTACCTACTAACGTTTAAACATAAGTATATGTGGGATATTAATTATATTATTATATTAGACCTTATAACAAAACTCATCTAACGAAAAAGTGTTAATGTCGTATATTAATATGGAGTAAAAATTTTACTAATTACTTTACTTTTACTTTACTATTTAAATTCGTTCCAAAAAACGATACGCCACTGGCCATTAGAACAATCCAAATGCGCCTAGTTGCCGGCTCGGTTGCCGGGGTCGGAAATTTTAGACTTCTCTGTCTCATCTGTCTTTGTTTGACACATTGGAATGTTTGATACACTACCAACGAGTATTTATGAATGAGATGTTCGGTCTATCTTTATAATGTCTTTGGTCATAGTAGAACGTAGAGCAGTATAATGGCCAGCGAGGTACCTGGACCGTCTGATGACGTCAAGTAATTCGACAGGTCCAAATTTTACAAAAAAAGTGAAATCAACACATCTCAGCAGTTACAATAAAGAGTACAAAATGCATTCGAAAGTATAAGAAGGTCTATTCAAAATTCAAAAGCTATAAATTAAATTGAACAAAAAATTTGTGCAATAGGGAGGGTGGTAATAACCCTTTCGAACATGTAGACTATGTAAAGCATTAGAAACTAGTTTGTAGAAATTATAATTTATTCATAATAACTACGATTAATATTATGCGAATTATTAGATCGTACACTGAGAATTTCAAATTCACAATAAGAAAAGTTAAAAAATAATATCTTTAAATTATTGCTGAGCTGGATATTATTTATTTGAATCTTTCAATTGGCTCAATTTCCCTTATTCAATGTTAATTAGCACTGATCAATATTGTTGCGATGACTATAATCAGATTCTTTGAATATCAGATTAAATAATTTAAAAACAGAGTCGGACCTGATTTTTTTTTAAATAATAATTAAATAGTTTTGTTGCTGTTAAGGTACCCAAAACAAAAAAAAAGTATAAAGTGTGGCATATTATTGTACTCAGGAGGCTGAGTTCTTTCAAAATCTGAAATAAAATATGCAGGTCCGTATTTAAAAAAATTAAATTGGCCTCTGTATCTTACAAATTATCAGCTAATTTGAAAATCTAAAAATACTATCAGATAGCCCTAATAAAGTGGCTATGAGAAGGGGCAATTAGTTTTTTGATTTTCTAAAAAGTAACGACAGGAAAAAATAAAATTAGTTTTCAAAAAAATCCGTTTTTTCCAAAAAACTCAGCAATCCTTGTAATTTTTAAAACATTTTTGATGCCATCTTGGTGAATAGCCCAAGGTAGCAACTTTACCCCACTTTACCCCAATTTAACCCATCTTCGTATCTATTACGGTTTCCGAGATACCAATGCTCGTACCTCGAATTTGTAGCACCCTGTACCCTGTATACAAGGTATCCCAGAAATAAGTGCAAGCATTTTAACTGGTAGTGTAGTTCAACCCGAGAAACACGCCTATGAGGTTTTTTTGCGAAAAAAAATTTTTGAAAATTCGGAATTTTTTGAAAAAAATTTTGAAATTTTTTGAAAAAAATTTTGGAATTTTTTGAAAAAAATTTTGGAATTTTTTTTAGTTTTTAGTTAAATAAACATCATTTCTTGATAATATGGTAACATAAGTAGTAGATTAAATTTACAAGAAAGAAAATCCAAAAATGATCCAGTGGTTCTCAAAATTTGAGCAAAAAATCATTTTTTTGGGAAATTTTCAAAGTAAAATAACTCTGTTGTTTTGGACTTATTTGAAAAAGGATAAAGAGAAAATATGTTTCTTTTATCGAGATCTACCACCTCTTAAAATACTTGCACTTATTTCTGGGACACCCTATATAATTTATCCATAATCAAGGATGCAACCGATGCAACCTACAAAGAGAGATAAATGGACATTACAATAAAGAAAACACACATCAAACAACTGAAAACTATGGACGCCATACACCATATAATACACTATAAACAATAAAAGTACACAATGAATATCGAATATCGATTCGGAAATAATGTACTGCCGGACTGTCGCGTCGGCTGTCGGCAGTTTTTATCCCTTTATCTATGAGTGCTAGCAGCATTCCTAAAATAGGTTTAGCATTGGCAACGTTGCTTTAAATGTCAGAAACCTTCTCCAGAAACAACCATCAACATGTGATAGAGACCTTCATCAGTTGTCTGAGCTTCAGCTAACCGGTCAAAGTCAATGGTGATGGGTGATGTTATTGCGTCTACCTCAGGTCGTGAGAGACAGTCGGCTACAATGTTCTTTTCTCCTTGGACATGTCGGATGTCTGTGGAAAATTGACCAATAAATTCCAGCTGGCGTATCTGTCGTGGAGATTGACGGTCATGTCGCTGCTGAAAGGCATACGTCAAGGGCTTGTGGTCAGTGTATATGATGAACGGCATGCCCTCAAGAAGGTAGCGGAAATGGTGAATACCGCTAAATATTGCCAACAGCTCGCGGTCGTAGGTACTGTAGTTATGCTCCGTCTTCGACAACTTCCGTGAGAAGAAAGAAATAGGCTGTAAGTGCTCACCGACAAGCTGTTGCAATACACCACCGATCGCGGTGTCCGAAGCGTCGACTAACATGCTCAACTGAGCATGGGGTGCTGGAAAAACCAACTCGGCAGCAGTAGCTAGGAGTTCTTTAACTCTGGTGAAGGCACTTGATGCTGCTGGGGTCAAGTTGAGGTCTTGTTGCTTTTTCTTTTGGTGGGAAAGTAGCTCGGCGAGTGGCATAAGCTCTTTTGCAGCATTCGGTAACCAGCGTCGATAGAAATTAAACCATCCCTAGGAAGCGACGTAGCTGTTTGTATGTTGTTGGTTGCGGAAAACTGCGAATAGCACTGACTTTAGCTGGCCTGACTCCAGTTGGGGGAGACTGTGACGCCCAAGAAATTTGCCTCTCGTATCCGGAATTTGGACTTTTCTTTATTGATTTGGAGTCCATTTGCTTCTAGGATCTGAAGAACTACTGCTAAGTGCTGCTCGTGTTCTGCTTCCGTCTCCGAGACTACCAGTATGTCGTCGATGTACACATATACAAATGAACACCCTCGGAAGAGATGGTCGAGGTACCGCTGAAGTGTCTGGGCGGCGTTACGTAAGCCAAGGGCATACGTAGAAATTCGTACAAACCAAAAGGTGTAATAACAGCCGTTTTTGTACATCTTCTGGGCGGACTGGGATCTGGTGGAATGCATGTACAAGATCAATGGTAGAGAAAATTTTCTTTCCATGTAGCTGATTTGCAAAGTCCTGAATATGTGGCACTGGATAGCGATCAGGCTTGGTAATTGCATTTAACCGACGGAAATCCCCACAAGCACGCCACTGGCCGTTGGCTGTTTGGACCATGTGAAGCAGGCTGGCCCATGGCGATTTTGATGGCTGAACAATGCCCATTTGTATAAGTTGATTGAATTCGGCCCGTGCAGCTTGTAGACGGTCTGGTGGAAGCCTGCGCGGCTTGGAGAACACTGGTGGGCCTTGGGTGTCGATATAGTGCTGGACTCTTCCAGGGTCGTCTGGTGCATCCGTTGGTCGGTCATAAGGGTGGGCAGTAGATATTCCCACCTCCAATGCTCTTACTCGTCGAGACATACACGTAATGCTGTTTGGTATAGTTGGACTCACAAGGCGCTTGTTTCGCATATCTACAGTGAAACCATGTTGTCGAGGAAGTCAGCACCTAGGATGGCAGTGGTGACATCTGCAACAATAAAGGTCCAAGTGACTGGCTGGCCAAAACCAAGGTCAAGTGTCAACTGTTTCTGCCCAAACGTTTTAATACAGGAACCAATAGCAGAGTATAGGCGTATCATACTAGGTTTTGAAGCAGAACATGCTTTGCGTGGCAGCACACTTAAGTCCGAGTGTGAGAACTTGCTCCAGTGTCAACAAGGAACTGCAGTTTTAGGGCTTTATCTGTGACGAAAAGGCGACGTGGTGCATGGGGGGCAGTGGTTGTCATGATTACTGCGCCCCCTCTTGATCGTTTTTTTGAGAAGGTACATGGTGCTCTACACTTCTTAGCTTGGGACCCAAATCTCCTGTGATAGTAGCAGTGCCCGTCAGTTTTCTCGTCCACACTTACTTTGTTGTTTAACGCAGGCTTTCCGTCCATGGCCATGATAGGAAAACTAGAACATTGTATATATTTGTCAGCTTTCTTGGCCAATTCCTCCAGGTCTCCATCCAGGATTGCTATGACTCCCCGGGCTTGGGGTGGTAGGCGGTCTAACCAGAGTTTCTTTAGAACCTGCGTAGAAACGTTATTTGAGGCCAAAGCTTGCATTCGGTGGAGAAGCTGTGTTGGTTTAAGGTCGCCCAAGGTCATCTCCATAAGCTGGTGAATTTTGTCATCAGCGCTACTGCCATATCTCTCTAACAGTCTAGTTTTGAGGTCTTCGTAGGCCCTACCTCTAGTTGGATTTCGTAGTATGTCGGCTACCTCTAATAGGACCTCGCTGTTTAAACTTGTTACGGTGTGATCGAACTTGCAGTCATCAGATGTTATTTTGGCTTGCCTGAATTGGGCTTCCAGGCGTAGGAACCATAGTTCGGGCTCTGTGCGCCAAAACTCCGGTGCTTTAATCCCTACACGGGCAATAACGACTTGATCGTCGGTTTGGAAGTCGTTCGTGTCGGAGGTGGACATTGCGTATCTGAATTTGTTGCACTCACACGTTCGTCGGGGTCACCAATGTGGCCGTTGAGTGTAGCAAATTAGGCACACCAGAGGCACACTAAATAATTAAGTCATTTAATTAACTCGATCAATTGTTACAAACTAAATAACTATTACAAAACATAAGAATTCGGTTTCTTGGCGCGAAACGTGAATGTTGAAGGTCGAATGTCTATCTACAGAATAATCCTTCTTCTTCCCCGATTGACAGATATCAGCTGGGTGGCGATTCAAGGCATAATTCAAGGTTGCTATGCTACTCAGGGGTGACAGTAAACCGGAAAATTGGAAACAGTTGTGGCGCGGTTCTACCCAGGCAGAAAGCATGGCCTTCTAGACTGTCCTAGACAAAAATCTGAATATTTCTATATGATTTCTGTCAATTTCTGCTACGGAACATTTTTTATGCACGTCGGCGTCCTGTTCTTTTGTCTTTTGTCTGTGTGTCAGCGGCAGCTCCCGAGGCCTCTGGCAAGGTCGGGCGCCATTTTAATTTTGCCGTTTACATTTGATTGGAAGTTTGTTTTTGATATTTCGGCTGAAATTTATAAGTACAAAGATGTTTTTGATATAAAGTTCCTTGTTAACACTTTAATAAAGTATATATGATATTAATTACATGAAGAAAATGATGAAATCGACGTTTCTGCGTGTAGCAGGTATGGGCCATATTATAGGTAAAAATAGGTAATATATTAACTGTTTTTATATTTTTTAACTTTAAACCCAAGGATCTTGGGATATTCTTTGCCAAGGATTTTTCCGTATCTCTACTTTAAAGACTGATCGGTGATTTTGAGCAATTGAAAGCAAGTTATACAAGGTAAATTATAATTATTGAACTATTATTAGCCTACATTAATTTTCTACAAGATGAATAGAAATGCGTAATTACATATCACATAGGTACCTATTATGTATTTTCATAGCAATAATGCTATAAATCTATGTATGTAGATTATTTTTAAAATACAAATGAGGTATTAGATGTATATGTATCATATTTTTTATTCATTTTATTTTCATTCAAGTCCTGTTTGATTTAATTCACAAAAGTCTTATGTAGGTACCTATATTTATGTTTTTTACATATTTTTTTTGATTCCAGGTTTTGTGTGGGTTCCGGTTGCTTTTTTCCTGCTTCCAGTTATTTAGTTTTATGCCCGTGAAGCTGTGAAAACATTTATTTATCTTCAAGTTTCTGTAAGTCAATGCACTGTTACTTTACTAATTCACTTTAACACAGCATCTCTGATATTATTTAAATATTTGATATTGATACAGTAGTTTATTGGTTTATAGCTCTTTAATTGTGTTGATTTGCATATTTACATTGTTCTAAATTCCAAATAAATATTTTTGAGTAATTTTGTTGTATTATTTACTACTAGAAAAGTAAAAAGTATATTAACCCTCATTTAAACCTCCTGAACAGCCCGCCATTAAAAACCGGAAACGGAAATAAATTTCATAAAATTGAAATTGTCATGTCTATGTCATGTCAAATGTCCCAACCGCCATATCTGAAAATTAGTTACCCAGGCAGCCACGCTGTTTCCATAATTTAACATTGACTTGACACTTCTTCTTGTATTTATTATTTTATGATGCTACCAGAGATATGGAAGTGGGAGAATGAGCTTCGACGAGTGCGCATCAAATTTTTTTGTCGACGGCAAGATGGCAGACATCTTCCAGGTCTCGCTGTCACTTCCCTCTTTAATTGACATCTGTTTGTTTTGTTTTTTTCGTTTGTGTTGTTATCTAGTTAAAATTTATTATTATCTGAATTATTCTAAACACTAATACAAAAAGGCTTGTTGTATATTGTCATAGTCATTCTAAGAAAGCTAATACGCCGGGAAAAATGATTAGTTTTCATGTGTAAGTTTATACAACATAATCGTGTTTACAGATGATCCAAAACTGTTTATTTTTAGTTTTCCTAAAGGCGATTTGCAAAAATCGTGATTGTAATTGGGAATGGTCAAGAATAAGTATATGATGTGGCCATTTAAAGAGGATGTTTTTATTACGTGTGGAGGAAGAAGATACTTGGAATCAATGTTCGTGCTTCTGTAAAACAGTGCACTCTTATAGTGTCCATGAAAGCACAAGTTCAAGTGTACCAGAAATATGTCAAATATTGTATCACTCAGGCAAACAGATTGGTCCTTACTTGACAAGAAGATTATTTGGAGGAAAAGAAAACATAAGATAGGGTATTTTAATCGAACAGCGAAAATTTAACATTTTTATTGTAAAGTTTGTTGTAGGTAGTTGTAGTTTTATGCTAAATATTTCTAACATTAGCAGCAGCAGTGTTCAGAGTGTCAAGAGGAGGAGAATTCAGTTAATTAGATTTATGCACAGTTACAGGTATGAAGGCTTTTCAAACATAGTATCGAGTTCTATAGTCAACATTTTTAGTATTCCTACAACTGTAAAAACAAGGAACATTGGACTGAAAAAATGGCAAGATTTATATAGGAAGAAAGGGTATTATGCCAATAAGAAAATTAAATCTGTGGGCAGAAGTTTCTTATTTAAAAACTGTTATGGGGCATATATTAATTTGTATCTGTGCCACAAATCACTGAGAAAAATCATATAATATTCATAATTGTTAACGAGATGATATTTAAAGAGTGTTAAAAATGAGATTATTAGTCATGAAGCTTACAATGTTACTTTGTTTCAATATTACATTTTTATTCTTGTAAAATCTATGATGAAGCTCAAAAGCATTTTGCAATGGCCTTAAATTGTGAGCCAGGATTTATAGCAAAGGTATTTGATGCAATGAAGGGGATTGTCAATCCCATGTTTTTAAATAGATAAAATACAGGCCAAAGTTGACAATATTACAGTTGAGAAGAAACTATTTTATCTTAAAAAAATTCAATATAATCTAATTTTCTTAATAATAAATTAGGTATATGTATGTTGTACATACAGAATTTTGGTATGGACAAATAAGAATCGACAAGCTTCTTTTGTGCAAAAAATAAATTATTTTTTGTAGTATTAAGACAAACGATAATGTGTTTTACAAACTTACCGGTAACAGTTTTTTTTATAATAAAATATTTAGTGTAAGACCCTGTATATTTTACCTCATAATATTCTAGATATATTTTAAACGCCGTAACAAAATCACACCAATTTTGTCAAGCGAGGCTTCAAAGCTTATCGCTCCAGATTGTTTAGACTACGTAAGGGCTGTGGTAAGGGCAAGCGGCGATAATATAAACAGAACGCTGGTCACGGCACTTAAAAAAAATATCTTAAGGCTCATAGTTTTTTTATGAAAGACGCAGACAATATCGGAGAGGTTCAGTTTAATATTTAGGTTGGCATTTAGTTGCTTTTGAATCTTTTAAAGAAGTGGAGTGTCGGTAAATGTTAATTTAAATACGATTTAATAATTAATTTAAATAGTTATAAAATTGTGACAGTGTTGAGGCAGTGTTAAAGATCCATTAAAGGGTGAGTTGATTCACTGAGTATGCATTCTCTACATGTTCTGTTTTAATTTTATAATTGACTTATTTAAGAGTTATTAGTTTAAAGAGTCATCTTCTTTATAATGATTTGTTTGTATCTGTAACTGAAACAGACCTTTGCGTTTGGTGTCATTGCACGTCTCAGTACAGGGTACATATATTGTTTTTAAGTTATTATTAGTAGTGGCAAGGGTTCACTAGGCTGGTGGCAAGGGTTCACCAGTTGTTTAAAGAGCTAGTGGCAAGGGTTCACTAGACTGGTGGCAAGGGTTCACCAGTTGTTTAGAGAGCTAGTGGCAAGGGTTCACTAGGCTGGTGGCAAGGGTTCACCAGTTGTTTAGAGAGCTAGTGGCAAGGGTTCACTAGGCTGGTGGCAAGGGTTCACCAATTGTTTAAAGAGGGCACTTCGCGTTTAGTGCCGTAATATGTTTTGGACATTTGTGAAAGGGTGTTTTGCGTTTAATACCCGTTGTAACATTTGAACTGTGATATTTTACCTAAATAATAAATATCAGGAATTTTGGAGGGCCGGCATACTCACAAAGATTTATTTTTTTCAGGCAACTCTATGTTATGAACCATCCTGAACAAGAACCTGCCATACCCATAGCCGTTCGAATTAAAGTTTTTTTTTGTTTATTTACCAATGATTATTTAATATTATTTTACATTTATTAAAATCGATTAAAATTTAATGTGCTGAGGCTTTTTGGTACCATAGAATTTTTCAGAAGTGGGATAATAAAAGGTAGATCCTAGGTTCTGGATGGTCGTGACATTTTTTTTTACAAATTTAGTTTCTTGATATTTAAAGATATACCGATACATGTGGTAAAACTGGCCACATTGCCAAAAAGTGTACGGCACAGAATCTTTGTGTGCACACTTACAGTGTACGACACAGAGTAAACTTAATGAGCGAAAGTGTAACTATTGTAAACTAAGTGGGCACATTGAGGCAAATTATTATAAAAAGAAAAGGGAAAATACTAAGCCGATTGCATGACTAGGCACAACAGATGACTTATAAGAAGTATTTTAAGGGTATTTTAATCAATGATAATAGAACAAATGTATTGCTTATATATATTTAGGAAGTTCGTGTACGACAATAAGATTAAGTAATTTAAATACTTTAGGAATTAGATATCATATATGTGCACGTAAAGACTATAGACAAGGAGTTACAACCACTTTGGGTTCGGTGCAATTAAAAATTAAAATTGACCAACTAGAGGCAGAAGTAAAGATTAAGATAGTAAGGGATGATTTACAAGAATTTCCTATTTTAGTTGGTAGACATTTTACAGAACCACCTCACATAATAATAGTTAAAGATTAGTTAATTCAAAAATTATAACGAACTTCAAAACGTCGAGCCAGCTTTTCATTTAAAGAAAGTTAAATTGCATGTACATAAAGACACAAATGTTCCTACAAGCCATGTTGCGAATATTCAAGTTT